AATTTATAAATTATACACATTTTAGTCTCCCTACCCTTTTATAATATTATGTATTAATTTTAATATATAATTTGTATTTATTTAGTTTAAATTATAATTTGTATATAATTTTAATATATAATTTGTATTTATTTAGCTTCTGAAAGTGAATGAATAAATGAAATTTTTGATCCCACATCGGTAATGAGTGAAGAATTGAAAGGTGGAGAGATGGGTTTAAAAGGAGAAGGTGGGGGAAGGGAGAAGGTACTTACCTGGACCGCTGGACGGGGTCAAAGGGTGGTCAAGATGACCCATGGCCTAGGTTGGCGACCTCCATTGCACTTTGGAGGGGCTCCAGTCTAAGGTCGGCCCAAGAGGTCGAACCTAAGTTATAATTTAGGCATGTTCGTTTATGTTCGAGTTCGAGCTTGATTCGAGTTCTAGTTCGAGCTTGAGTTCGAGCTTGAATCGAGCTCGAGTTCGAGTTTGATTCGAGTTCGAGTTCGAGCTTGAATCGAGTTCGAGTTGAGCTTCGATTTTGACTACTCGCGAGTTTTCGAGTCGAGTTCGAGCTTCGAAATTAGGTTTCGAGTTCGAGTCGAGTATAATGATACTCGAGCTCGACTCGCATCATTTACACCCCTAGATTTAGTATCACATGTGATGAAATAATAATATCACATATGATTGTCTATAGTAAAAAAGTGTTCTCATGCTCTCGTAAAATAAATATATTCTCATTTGAACCCTTCCACATATATATATATATATATTAATACACATTATATATATATATATATATATATATATATAATGTGTATTAATATATTATAAAGATAAAAGGTGGTGGGGTGGGATGGGGCGTGTCTTGATATGGAGTGAGTTGAAAGGGTGAAGAGATGTACATAATAAGATTTGACTCCTTACATTTATCAACCAGAGAATAGATGACAAAACACACACACACACACAGACTGTGTTATATTCAGTTGAGTCAGCCATTCAGACAACCAGACAGCTTCTGAATTAAGCTATCAGATTCACACACATATCTATCTTCCTTCTTCAATCTCATCCCATCCCATCCCATCCAGTCCAGTCTATCTCAACTTTTTATCTGATTTTTAACCGAACCGACTGTAATCCTTTTTAAAAGAGTTGGTGTGTTGCATGGCAAAGATTTACGTATAGTTTTATATAACTGTGTTTACGAGTAAAGAAAACATGACCATGACCATGACATGAACCAGTTGATCTGACTAATGATATCGTTAAGTTTACGTATGTGTCAGTTTCAATTGACGTGGGGATGTGACGAGACGCGTAAGGGTACAACGCGTGTCACGTTGGGTGGCACACGTTTGAAGAGGGGTATGTAACGTGTGTTGCAATTGTATAATGGGGTGTCCTACATCTCGATTCTTTTTAAAAAATTTGTTCTTATTGGTATTAACCAGTTCTCAAGAATACTGACTCTAAAATAAACATTTACCCATACCAGTCTTTTCAACTTCTGGTTATAATCACAAACCATTAGGCAATTAAGGTTATTTGACGTATGTCGTATTATTCATCTCCCGAGATGTTCAAATGCATCTGCAATAAAAAAACAGTTACCTGCCTGATTACTGGTTTTTATCTGCATTTGAAACCATCGTGACGTCAATTCACACATTTGTCTTTGTATCGTGTATAAATAGAATTTGTAAGACGTAATAGAATATTTTATCTGACTTTACTTTATAGAACCAAACAATAAATCATCATATCTAAAAGTGTTGCAATATGTTATATGACGTTTTTAAATGCTTTAACAAGATTTTTAGAACGTTTGTATTACAAAGCGTTCTATTGGCTATTTTCAAATCCCACCCAGAGCTCGACCCAAGAAGGATCAATGTGAGCCTGAAGAACCGGTTAAGACTGTTGGATTACATTGACTACTGTTTACAACTGTTGCATCAGTTACTGCATTCAGGCCAAAAAACAGTAATATAATATAAAAAATAAAGAAAAACATCATTATACATAATTCCATTTTAAAATTCATATTTTTGGCAATTTTTTAGGTGCTAGTAATCTTTCCAAAAAGCCAAAGAAAAAATATTAATTAGTTGACCTTCCATTAATGGAAAGACGAGAATAAAAAAAAGCAACTATGATTATATTATATGGGAAATGTTTGATTTTAAACATTAAACCCTAAATTATAATATATATATATATATATATATACTATATTATAAAGTATTTGATAAAAATTCTTAAAAACTATTTTTATTCATTAATTGTTGTTTATTGATGCATATTATTTAAAATTTAATATTACAAATAAATTGTGCGTAAGTACAACTTATTAAAGATTCATGTTTAAATTCGTGTAACTAATTACAGATAAACATTTTATTTTAAATATAAAAAATCTAAAATATCTATAAGATAATCATTGAGTTCTAACAAAATATTTAATTATTATCCCTATAAAAAAATTATATTATTAAATCAAAAATAAATTACGTCATTATTAAATCTAAATTTAATTATAATAAAATTTTGAATTAAAATAATTACATAAAAACAAGAACTTTTAAATAGTTAAATTGATACTAATATCGATATAATTATTTCTAAAATTTTAAGATATCTTCAAATTTATATTTTATTCAAAAATAAAAACATGCACTTAGCCAACTTAGAAGGTTCTGGATGAATTTTGACGAAAACTATGGGGTTATGGCATAAAAATATGCCCTTTTTTGACATTTAATGATAAGTTGGACCGGTGTAAGGAATTCGATGAAAATGATTTACGGTTTGTTTGCCTCATACTGAGAAATGAAAATGAGAATTAAAATGAAAATAACAGAGAATGAAAATGTGAAATCCCCCCCCCCCCCCCCCAATAGACTCAAACCAGGGTTGGGGGATGTTACTCAAATCGGAGTTGGGGCTAGGGCCGGGGATCCCCAATAGACTCAAACTAACGGATATTTTTCATGGGGTTTGATCGGGGTTTGACTGGGACAGGATGTTAATCCCCGTACCCACCAAGAACCAAGGCCAGGGCTGTTACTAAAAACCGGGCCCGGGGATTACAAAATCTAGCCCATCCCCGCCCCGTTGCCATGCCTAGGTTTAGTGGGCATTTTTAATGATTACAATATTTGAAATCAGTATGCATATATAATTAAAAGATCTTGAAAAAAATTAAAATATATTACTACTACAAAATCGTATTTATAAGACGTCAAAAATGTTTAAATGTCATAATAAACTATTTTATATGACTTAAATTTATGGGTCTAAATAATAGATGTCATATTTAAAAGTATTACAGTAAAAATATCGGATGATTTTAAGCGTTTTAACAAGTTTTTTAAAATATTTTAGAAATAAATTATTGTATTAACTATTTTATAGTACACTTTTAAATAACGTCAACATATATAATACAATTTTAAAGATATTTTAACTTTTTTATTCTGGAGTGTTTTGGACGAGAAATAAAGGCTTTCCAGCAAGCGGAGTTGTACCGAAATTTCATTCAGTCATAACTGTTTTCCTATCCCACTGCCAAAAAGAAGACAACAACGATCTATCTCCTCGTACTACTTCTACAACACATTTTTTTACAAGACCTTTTTTTTTTCCAAATAATATCAGATAAAAAGTTAATATGCATCTTATTTTAAAAATGTTTAAAAAACCTGTTAATACACTTAAAAGCTGACATAACTTTTTTTTTCTAATAACATACTAGTTGTGTACTTGCGCAATGTAGCGGGAGCCATGAATTTTAACGATTTTGAAGTTTCACTGGTTTTATTAGAGAAGATTAAATGATGATATAAGTTACACTTGGTCTTTGCATATTAATACAATTTGAATAAAAAGAGTTATGGTTCAAATTACAGTATATCGATGGAAAAAATTGTATGTAAAATCCAATATATTAAAACGACTACACAAATGTGTTCGATTTACACCAAGAGCAAAGAATCAAGAGATCAAGAGCGAGACTGAGAGATGAATGAGAGAACTTTTAATAAATCATGGTGAATATCAATTCGAATCTCACCTTGGGGGACGGGGAGAAGACATAGAGGTATGAGAGGGTGAAAACATGATTGAAATGTGTCAAAAGTATCTTGGGAACATAAAAAGAAATTGAAATAATGTGCATTAGTAACTTGTACTATATGTTATTTTAATTGTAGATTAAGAGATTTTAAGACTAAATGCATAAAGTAGTAGTACTTAATGCATTATGAGTTGTTTTTAAGACTTTTAAGACTTTGTGCATAAATGTATAGTACTTTGTGCATTAAAAATTGTTTTTAATTTTTTTGATAAATATGGTTTATAAGATGGTGTACAGATTATAAGCAAGCAAAGAGTCTTTGGTCTCGCGGTATCGTAGCTTTTGATCTCCTAGGAGGTCAAGATTACCAAAAGTGAGAATGATGTGTAAATTTATTTGTTTTATTTGTCGTATATAAATGTTTTAAATCATATTAAATACTATATTAAGAGGATGGTAGATAAGGACAACTAAAATTTATAAAACTGATTTAGCATGCCCCTCAAAAGATATTAGTACAATAAGAAGTGGGTCACCCACAAGATTTCATAACTTTACACTTTATTTAATTTCCATTTTTTTGTTTTTTATGATTTTATTGTAGAAATTGTTCTAAAAAACTCGTTAAAACGTGTCATGACGAGAATTTGTGGCTACTTCCCATAAGAGTTAAAAGACAGACAGACAGATATATAATGAGAAAAGAGTGCAATCGTGAGTTGCGAACCTGATTTTTGTGGTCATTCGAAGGATAAACGAGAACAGGACATGTGTCATCATCTGTCTCGATTCATCATGAATAATGATTGCAGGTTTTTTAATCATTCATGATGCATGTTTGGCAAACTAGCTGATGAACAAATAAGGTTTGACAAAACTAGCTGATAAGAATGTAAATTGATCAAAAAGGGTATTTTGGAAAATTAATAAATTATAATATTTCAAATTATTATTAAAACAAATATCTAATAATATAATATATTAACTATTACAAACAAGATGGTAAAAAAATTAGAAAATATATTGTAATATTTGGGTTTGTTAAAATAAGTTTTAGAAAAATCGATTATTTATGATTTTAAATAACCATTACATATAATATGAATAAAAATAAAAATAAAAATATTCTATCTCACATATTCTAATTAATAACAATTTTTCAAAAAATATATTTAATAATTAAATTAAATATGTTATTCAAATTATTTAATACATTTTTATTATCTATTAAATAAAAATAAATATAAGTTTAATATCTATATTACATAAACATGGTTAAGATTATTATATTTCCATTTTGATAACTATATATATCAAATAATAATTAAAAATATAATAAAATGAAAACAAGTAATAGAATTAATAATTATCATAAATAATTAGTAGTTAATATTAATAATGTTTAAATTTTTTATTAATATTTATTTAGAAATAATAGTAATAAATAATAATTAATATTAACAAGGGTTATAATTGAAGAAAATAACAAAAGCTACCAAAATGCTACTCAAAGTAACGTTTCAATAAACTAGTTTATATGCATCCAAACATATACTCATAAAATAAATTAGCTTATATTAGCATCTTAAGTCTGATTCGTTAAGAGGTAGGGTCATTAGACTGTTTATTTTCACCAATTTTTCAAAAACACTTATATCTTATTATTCTCTTATCTAGTAAGAGGTAAATCAACCTCTTATTTGCCTCTTATTGTTCTCGAAACCTTTAGCACCGATGTTTCTCAATCGATCATCACATCTCTCAATTGGTGTATTTTAATAGGATTTCAATGTGTTAAATACCATTGACATTTTTTCGTTTCAATGAATGCTAATCATCTGATTTAAATGTAAATTTTGTAGTGATGATGAATAAACATGTGAAATTGTATAAATTTATCTATAAATTCAACATTATAATTTTCTAATCAGTAAAATAGACAATTTAAACAAATTCAAACAGTAATCAGTTTACAAAAACAAACAGTCTTATTGATTCAGATTTTAGACTTTAGCATCACCTCTTATTAACGAAAAGTGAAATAAAAATTCAAACTTTAGCACCTCTTAGAAAACAAACGCCACCAAAATCTCTTAACCTTTTGTTGACTGAATAAATCTGTAAATATATAACACGGAATCAATACACAACTGCTCGTGAGTCTTCTGGGTACCCAACGCCATATATACGTTCGAAACACAACGTGGCTCTTTAAGCACGTCCAAAATTCATGATACACAAAATCACGAAAATACGCTTTATATTTACATTCAAATATATTCATCCCGTTAAGGTCGGGCCCACACTGATTTTACGACATAATTATAATTTTATTTATTTATTTATTTATTTTTATTTATTTATTTATTTATTTTTAGACTTTTAAAAAACCTACCAAATATTTTTTTTCTCCTAAAATGTGTGATTTTATGTTTGAAAGGAAAGAGAGAGAGAGAGAGAGAGTAATGAATGGATGGGTGCGGGACTACCGGATCGTGTCTGCTCCTAAAAGTTGCGTCCACTGTTCACTTTCTATTTATTTATTTTTATTTATATTTAATTTTTTTATATAAAATATCAATTCTATGAGCATGTCGGCGAGATTAATTATAAAAAGAACAACAAACTGATCAAAAAAAAGTCAAATATTCTCGACCAACTTCACTTTGGTGGCGTTTGTTTTTTTAAGAGTTGTTGAAGTTTGAAGTCTGATTTTACTTCTGATTTATAAGAGGTGGTCCTGAAGTCTGAAATCTGGATCAGTAAGATTGTTTGTTTTAATGTTTGAAGTCTGAAATCTGAATCGATCAAACTAATGTAAAAGTATAAGAGATAAATAGTTTCTGCTAACAAAAGACCTTCCGGCCCTTAAAACATGAACCATTTGATAGATGGCAGATTATGATTAAGGGAGTGTTTGTTTACCTATTAATAGTTCCGTTAAAAGGCATCATCTGAATCGTTAAGAGGTGAATATTGTTTGACAAAAAAAAAAGTTTGTCTCTTAATGGTTCTAAAATCCTCTGAATGATTTTGTATTTTAGATCTCCCTTAACCATTCACCGTCCTAATTTCATTGTAAACAATTACTAAGCATTATACTTCATTTTGCACTATATCATGAGAGTCTCTTAATTATTCTGACCACTTAATCATTCTGTACCAGATCATTCAGCAACTGTCAAACAGCCCTTAAGAGGTATTAAGGGATACGTTTACCACTTTAAATTTTCAGAGAACATTTAGAGATTTTAAACTCTTATTTTAAAAATAAAACAAACGCTCTTAATATCTAAACGTCTGAACGAATCAAATTTCAGATGTATTAAAAGGTAATTTTGAAAAAACAAACAGACCCGACATAGTTGTTTTTCAGAGCCTCTTTCTAAAATAGTGACGTGTTTATGTGGATGATTTATGTATTTGTGTAAAGACTGCTTTCGGAAGAAAAAAATTCCACACACATTTGCGTAACGATTCTTTGGGAAAAATTTTGAATTTTTACGCAAAAATCTGAATGCTTATTTGAAAATCTGTTTTTAATCTGAAAAATGAATTTACCCAAATTCATACTGTGTAAACTCTAGCTAAAATGAGAATTCAACTGAAAAAAAGTGGCTGAAAAGTGAAGTTTGTTGGGAAGATTGACTATTTTGGTTAATTTCTTAATAAAAAATGCGAGAACCGCCAAAAATTAGTTTTCATGTATTGTTCATATTGTGAAATTAATACATTTACATGTTTATTTTTAGTGAAAACATACAGTATATTCACATGCATTTTTTTATAATGTAAACAACATACGATCAGTGGTTTTCAAGGTTATCAGCTTTTTTGTAGTTCTTATTTGGTTATACGCTTATCACCTTTTTAATTTTCACTACAACAAAATTGGGTTTATATGACGTCAAAACTTTCTAAATAGACAATTTTATAAGACAAAAAAATAAAACAGAAAATTAAGTCCGCCAACCATAACCCGACACTTGTAAATCCCATTTTCTTCAAGTTGGTTTTTTTTTTTACGAACACGATGTGATTAAGCCAACTAGACAGGCACCTAACACGACAATGTGTACCTGATTTTTCTCTTATACTGCTATACGTTTCTCTTAAATAGCTCAGATCAGATCAAAAAACCCTTTTGCACAGTCTTCTACAACGTGTTGTCGAGTTACAGATATCGGGTTCGGTTCAATTAATATACGCGATTGATATAAAATCGTACGTAAAAAAAACGTGTTACATAAGTTTATAGTACACGTCATTAATTAATGTAACAATTTTTAAATAAATTTAATAAAGAATTTATATATATAAAAAGGGTTCATATATGATCCACACCTTTTATTCAACCCTATTTCAAGAAAAGAGTCCAATCCCACAAGCTACATGGACCATGGCCGGTACGGCCAGCCGGAATTCACCGCCGCCGGCAACTCAAGACTCCATTTTCCGGTACCGGAAGTGCCATTTTACATGCACCAAATGCTAAACCCTAATGATCCACCACAACCACCAGCTCATACTTTTCATGACAACGCCACCACCGTCTCTCCGCCTACTCCTCCACCGCCGCCGTATTTAGCTCAAACCGGATGGAACGCCGGAGGCGGAGGTGTGATCAACCTGAACCATCGTACAAACAGTTATGCAGCGAGTACAACCATTCGATGGCCACGGCAAGAAACACTTTCGCTTCTTGAAATCAGATCTCGACTCGATTCTTGTTTTCGGGAAGCGAGTTCGTCGAACCATAAAGCCCCTTTATGGGATGAAATCTCCAGGTACAGTCAACGCCGGTGTCCGCCATGGTCAACGTCCATGATCATCTCGATAATTGAATCTTGTTAACCGTTTCTTTTGGTTTCTTGATTGCAGGATTATGAACGACGAATATGGGTACCAAAGAAGTGGTAGAAAATGCAAAGAAAAGTTCGAGAATTTATACAAATATTACAAGAAAACTAAAGACGGGAAAGTTGGCAAACACGACGGTAAACATTACCGGTTTTTCGGCCAACTCGAAGCCCTTTTCGGAGATCAACAACGTACGACGGTGGCTTATCCGATCAGCCAATCGAATTATTCGTCTGAATATGGAACGCCATCGAATGAGAAGAACCGAAGAACCGACTACGAGTTCGAAACCGATGAATTCATTGCTGCGATTCAGGATTCGATTGATTCTCAGCTTTCGAAACTGATGGTTAAACAAGATGAATGGGGGGAGAAGATTTTGTGTGCCATCGATCGTAAAGACCAAGAGAGGGTGGTTATGGATGAAGAATGGCGGAAACGGGAGGCGGCTCGATTGGCTCACGAATACGAATCTTGGGCTAACCATGTGGCTCGAATCGAGACTCGCGACAAATCGTTACTCGATGCTTTGCAAAACCTAATTAGGGTTAGATCGAGAGGGTCTAGTTATCGGGACATGGATCCGGTGGCGAATCCGAAAGGAAACGAGTGCTCGGATCATCGCGATAAACGTAAAGATTGGAGTGAACCCGAGATCTCTAGCTTGATTCATATACGAATAAACAAAGACGGTAAATTTCGAGATGGCGATCAAGAAGACGGGGAGAGAATTTGGGAGGAGATCGCTTTCGAATTGTCTCTTTTGGGATACAATCGAAATGGAATCGATTGCAAAGAGGCATGGGAAAAGCTTTGTGTCGACTTTAACAAGTCGAAAATGGAATGCGAGATCGTGAGCAAAGAGGTTTCTTCGAGAACAAGCAACGCGGTGGACGATAACGACGATCGGAATAGTTGTCTCCGAGCAATGACGATGAACATCGACGGCGAACGTTAGTCGGAAACTATGTAATCAGTCCGATCAAGGTAGGTTAAGTTGTTGATTTCTAAATTAGAGAAGTTCATAGGATGATCCTTTGTAAAATAATGTCTGTGTTTGAGAAGATTGCTTTCGAATGCTAACCCTAAACTCGTGATGCTGGGTGTGTTTGGTGTCCAAACAGGACGTGATAGAACAACTGTTTAACGTTTGGTAAGATAAATGATCAATTTATCTCTAATAAGTTGTTTATTTTGAATAATTTATGTAATTTATTAACTTATAATAGAATAATTATTTTTTATAATGGAATATATAATTTGAAAGTTCACATCAAAACAATTAAAACGACACAAAATAAAAAGTTTATATAGTTTTCAATTTTTATTTTTGTCTCTTTTCTACATTATTTTTTATTATTAATATATAAATAAGTTACATAAATTAATAAAAATATAGAAAGCGTATAAAAATAATATTTTGAGGACGGTAAAACGAAAGTTTAATAAACATAAAATACAATAAATAAAATTTAATTAATGAATAAAATGTAAAAAAAGATATATATATTTGATGTTTTAAAAGAGAATTTAAGTTTTATTTTGATGTTATATTGATAAAATATAAGTCTGTTCCACTTGTTCCACGGAGTAGGGGTGGAACAAGTTTGTTCCACTTTGTTCCATTTTGTTTCTGTATGTTTCATATAAAAGTCATACCGAATATGGGACAGGGATCCGTGTCCTGTCAAGTATACCAGACGTAGACTAAACCCTAATCATGTGATGTTTCTATTTTTGACACCAAACTTTTGAATCTTTTATGTGACATGACACTTAAGTATTATGTTTTATAGTTTTTTCCCCAAAATGTTGTTTTCTTTAATAAATGAAGTGAACGTTTGACTACTTGAAATTGAAACTAACCTTCATGGCTTAATCATTAGAGCAAAATTGGTTTTTTAGAACGTCTAAAATGTCTGATAAATTATTTTACAGGACTTACGTTTATTTGATTAAACCAAAAAGTATCAAATCTAAAATGACTGTATAACAGTTTTAGACATTTTAACGAGTTTTTATATTATCTATTTTACATGGTAATATTTGTAAAAATATATTAAAAACAGAAGTGTCCTATAAAAAGATGAATTTATATGACATTTATCAAAAGTGTCTTATAAAGTAGTTAATTATAACAGGATATTTTATTTTCAATTGTCCAAAAATATTTGTTAAAACGTTCAAAAACGTCCTATAAAACATTCTTGTAAAACCAATTTTGTTGTATTGAAACGAGGAAGTTAAGGGTGAAATTATCTATTTGGCTTAAAAATTATATGATTCTTTTGCAATAGTACAAAGTAAAAGGGTCGTTAATGAAAATTTCCTTTTTTCTAGGTGACTCAAACCTACATTACCAAAATTTACATTTTCATCCCAGAATGAATATTTTTTTTTCAAAATTGGTCCTCGATTGCACTTCGTAGATCATTGGTTAACCATGTGTTTCGAAATGACGTTTGTTAAGTGTATTTTAGTAACCCGTCTTAACTAATTCGTTACTTGTGTCTTAACTTCGATCTCATACAGATTCGTAAATAAATATTAACATTTGTTTTTAATACAAAGTATCGCATTAACAATTTACATGACACTTTTACAAGTGTTCTATAAAGTCATGTTTTTAAAGAACACTTGTTTTTATATGACATTTTCTTCAAAAATGATGTCCTTTAAAATTGCTAATGCGATGTTTTATATTAAAAGTGTCTTAAAAATTTGTTAAGATGTTCAAAAACGTTATAGAAACTTATTACAACGTTTTTAAATATGATGTTTTATTTTTGGTCATATATATAAATAAAATCTTATAAAACGGTCTATTAAGATGTTTAAAATCTTTTAACGTCCTATAAATCTTATTTTATTATAATGTTATTATATTAAACTAGAAGGGTACTCGCACAATGCAACGAGATATATCTTGATTTTAATGTTTCGTTTTATATTTTGAGTCTATCGATGTTATAATGCAATATGTGGTTTTGAGTATTGTAATTTTGAAAAAGATAAGCAATATTAGTATCAAATTAACTATTTAAAGAATCTTGGTTTTGTGTAATTTATTTAATTCAAATTTTTATTATAATTTAATTAAAATCTAATAACGAACTAATTTATTTTTAGTTTAATAAAATAATTTTTTAAGATAATAATTAAGTATTCGGTTAGAATTCAATGATTATTTTAATTGTATTTTATATATTTTTTATTTAAAATGATGTTTATCATGTATTTGATTACTTTTATCTGCAATTAGTTACACGAATTCAAACATGAAGCTTTAATAAGATGTAATCATACATATTATACTTGTAATCTTGAATTTAAAATAATATACATTAATAAACAATATTTTATGTTTAAAAAGTGGTTTTTAAGAGTTTTTGTCAAATGCTTTATAATATAGTATAGATAAATAAAATTAATATCAAATTATATTTATATATTATAATATAATATAATATAATTAAAAATAATAATAAAATTGACATAAAAAGTCGTTTTCTAAGATACAAATTGAACACAAACACACGCAACGTAGAAAACACCAAAAAACGTTGTTGTTGGCACCCAAAAGTGAATGACTTGTCGTTTCTAATTTCCCTGTTACACGTCACCATCCATGTTTCAGTACTTTTTTTTTATTTTATATTATTTATAAAATGAAATATCTTTTTTTTCACAATTTTTTATTCATTAATTATTATAAAATTTTAATACAAGTTTATTTAACAAATTCTCTATAATTTCTTTAAAATAAAAAATGAAAAATTAAAATCTTTAAAATAAATTACATTTAGCTTCAACAGATTCTTTAAAATTTCTCTGAAATAGAAAATGAAAAGTCAAAATCTTTAAAATAAGTTACAATCAACTCCAACAGATTCTTTATTTTAAAATTTTCGTCATTAATTATCTATACTATATTGTAAAACATGTGACAAAAATTATTAAAAATCATTTTTTATGTATTGAGTATTGTTTATTAATGCATATTACTTAAAATTCAAGATTACAAGTAAAGTATGCGTAAGTACAACTTATTAAAGCTTCATGTTTGAAATCGTATGACTAACTGCGGATAAACATAACCAAATACAGGATAAACATCTCTTTTATAAATTAAAAAATCTAAAATATAATTAGGATAATCATTGATTTATAACAAAATGTTTGATTATTTTTTTATAGAAAATTTTATTCAAATGGTTAGAGCATGCAACATGTTCTCTATAATTTCTCTAAAATAAAAAATAATAAGTCAAAATATTTAAAATAAATTACATTTAACTCAAAGTCTCCAATAGATTCTCTATTTTAAATTTTGTCATTAATTATCTATACTATATTGTAAACATTTGACAAAAACTCTTAAAAATCATTTGTTATGCATGAAATACTGTTTATTAATGCATATTACTTATAATTCAATATTATGAGTAAATTGCGCATAAATACAACTTATTAAAGCTCTATTTTTAAATTTGTTTAACTAATTGCAGATAAACAAAATCAAATACAGAATAAACATCTTATTTTAAATATAAAAAATTAAAATATAATTAGGATAATCATTAAGTTTTAACAGAATATTTAAGGGAAAAGTACAATAAAAATCAATGGACTTTCTTGTTTGGAATGATTAAGTTCTTGGACTTTTTTTTGAAACAAATAAGTCCTTGGACATTCCAAAACATGTTAAATAAGTCATTGGACAATTTTTGGAACAAATAAGTCATTGGACATTCCAAAAAATGTTAAATAACTCATTGGACAATTTTTGGAACAAATCAGTCCTTGAACAATCCAAAACATGTTAAATAACTTCTTGAACTTTTATAAAACATGTTGGATACATTCTTATGACTTGTACAACTAGTTAAAGTGGTAAAATAGTGAAAAAAATTCTGAAAAAAACCCCAATGAACATTCATATTTTGAACGATAAAGTGGTAAAATAGTGAAAAAAATCCGGAAATATATTTTGTCAGTGATTTTTTAAACAAAAAATAAAAAAAAAATAAGAAATATTATTTTTAATTAAAATAAATTTCATCAGTAATCTTTTTAAATCTTTTTTTAATTTAAAAAATCACATACATGATATATATTTTTTTAATTAAAATAAATTTAATAATAATTATTATTTTTTGTTTGAAAAATCACTGACAGAATATATTTTAATTTTAATTAAAATAAACTTTATCAAAAATCTTTTTTAAATGTAATTATATTTTTGTAAATGTAAGTACTTTTTTGTTATATTTGTTTAATTTTATAAATTTAAATACTTTTTGGTTCAAAAAATATTTAGGGGCTTAATCGTTCAAAATATGAATGTTCATTGGGTTTTTTTCCCGATTTTTTTCACTATTTTACCACTTTAACTAGTTGTACAAGTCATAAGAATGTATCCAACATGTTTTATAAAAGTTCAAGAAGTTATTTAACATGTTTTGGATTGTTCAAGGACTTATTTTTTTCAAAAATTGTCCAAGGAGTTATTTAACATTTTTTGGAATGTCCAAGAACTTATTTGTTTCAAAAATTGTCCAATGACTTATTTAACATATTTTGGAATGTCCAAGGACTTATTTGTTCCAAAAAATTGTCTAATGACTTATTTAACATGTTTTGAAATGTCCAATGACTTATTTGTTCCAAAAAAAAATCTAAGGACTTAATCATTCCAAACAAGAAAGTCCATTGGTTTTTATTGTACTTTTTCCAATATTTAATTATTATTCTTATAAAAATTATATTATTAAAAAAAATAAATTACTTTGTTATTAAACCTAAATTAGATTATAATAAATAATTGAACTAAAAAATTATATAGAAAACAAGACGTTTTAAATAATTAATTTAATAATAATATCGATACTTTGTTTTTTATTTATATTTCATTCAAAATTAAAAATATTATCGTTTTCTAAAAATTACATAAAACCGCATCATATCGACAGAGAAAATAAATAAAATGGAACATTAAAATCAAGATGTATCTCAATACATTGCACGAATACCCTTATAATATTATTTAAATATTCTATGATCACAATACACTTTATAAGAAAAAAAAACTTTATATAAAATGATAGTAATGCAACTGTAATTAGTAGAATTAATAAAAAT